GGATATGTTGAGATCTTTAGTGCTGCAGTTCGGCGATGGTTGGCATAATTGCTTGGATTTGATGGAGTTCGCCTACAACAAAGTTACCATTCGAGTATTGGTATGGCACCTTTTAATGGGCCCGGAGATTGTGGATGAAACTACTCAGAATATTCAGGTAATTAAGTCTAACTTGAAAGTGGCCCATGATCAACAAAATAGCTTAGCAGACAAGCATGCCACTGACCGGATGTATAATGTAGGTGATTGGGTATTTCTGAAGCTATCACCATAGAAATGTGTTGTGCGGTTTGGAAAGAAAGGCAAGCTGAGTCCTAGGTATATTGGACCGTATATGATCACCGAGAGAGTCGGTGAGGTCGCTTACAGGCTTGAGTTGCCTCCAGAGTTGTCCAAAGTGCATGATGTATTTCCTGTTTCGATGCTTCGACATTATGTCTCAGATCCTTCTCATGTAATACCTCATCAACCGTTGGAAATTAATTCAGATTTGACTTATGATGAGGAGCCAGTGACTATATTGGATTGGAAGGATAAAGAGCTAAGGAATAAAACAATGCATTTGGTGAAAGTTTTGTGGAGAAATCACTCAGTGGAAGAGGCCACTTGGGAAACGGAGGATCGGATGAGAGAGATGTATCAACGCTTGTTTTATGACTATTAGTGGATAGGTTTGTTGTATATAATTTCGAGGATGAAATTTTATAAGGTGGGTAGATTGTCACAACCCATCCCGGAATTTTGGAATATTATTGGTCGCGAACGCGGAAGTTACTAAAATATCCTTGGACGTTATAGTGTGTTGTGTATATTGTGTACTTAGGTTTTGGATCCATCTATTATTTTCCTAAGTTTAGAACTAAGGGAACTAAAATGGACTTAGTTTTGTTGGTTTTGGCGGGTGACCTGCGTGGACACACACACACACACACACTTTCCATCACTCCCGTGCTCTCACTCTCTTCCCTATTGGACTTCTTTTATTTTCCATACAAACCGTACAGACGAACTTTGAACTCAAGCTTTCATGCATGGATCAATGTTAAAAAGGTAATGTTCTTGTTCCTTACAAGCTCCTGAGTCTATTCATACTATTTTTAGAACTTGAAACCTTTGAAAACCCTAGTTTCTCATGAACTCCGATTTAGGTACTATTCATGCACTAATTATTGTGAGGTTTTTAGGAGTTTTTAAGGACATAGGAAGCTTTGAATCATCCTCACGAAGCTCGGAGAAGAAAAATAGCATGATTTGGAAGTCGGGAAATCGAGATATATGCATTTGAAATTTGGCCAGAATTATCGAGCTTTCTCCGGCTAGTTTTCGTGGATTTCAAGCCTTGAAATTGGTAAGGATGGGTTCTTCTAGTTATAAGCTTTAAATTGAGACCAATTTCATGAGTTTTGGTTAAGAAATGACGGAGATGTAAGGATTTTAAAATTTTCCTAGTTTTCGACGACTGCGACAGTCACCGGAGTTCGAAGGTAGGGGATGACAGAATATTCCTTCAACTTTGACGGAATATTCCTAACGGCGTTGGTTAGTTTAACTGTTTCCGTTACTATTTAATGGAATATTCCATGGAATAATCCTAACAGGGTTAAGGGATTCCATTAGGGTCCCTGCACATGGCCACATATAGGGCCGTGCCCTTGCCGGCGTGTGATGTCATATCCCGACCAGGGGCGTACCACTTCCTAGGCCCGCTCCACCACCGTAGCACGATATTGTCCACTTTGGGCTTACCATTCCCTCACAGTTTTGTTTTTGGGAACTCACGAGCAATTTTCGAGTGGGTCATCCATCCTAGGAGTGTTCTGGCCTCCTTCTCGCTTAACTTCAGAGTTCCTACGGAACCTGAAGCCAGTGAGCTCCCAAAAGGCCTCGTGCTAGGTAGGGATGAGAATATACATTTAAGGATCATTCCCTTGGGTGATATGGGATGTTACAATCCACCCCCCTTAAGGGCCCGACGTCCTCGTCGGTACGCTTCCGGCCAGGGATTGGCTCTGATACCATTTGTCACATCCTAGCCCAGGACGAACCACTTCCCGGGCCCGCTCCACCACCATAGCACGATATTATCCGCTTTGGGCTTACCATTCCCTCATGGTTTTGTTTTTGGGAACTCACGAACAACTTCCCAGTGGGTCACCTATCTTGGGAGTGCTCTGGCCTCCTTCTCACTTAACTTCGGAGTTCTTACGGAACCTGAAGCCAGTGAGCTCCCAAAACGCCTCGTGCTAGGTAGGGATAGGAATATATATTTAAGGATCACTCCCCTGGGCGATGTGGGATGTTACATGTGACGGTTCCAAAATTTATTTTAAAAATATGGGGATGTTCGTGGAGTTATGTAGGTCACAATGGTATATTCATGTACCTCATTTGAGCAATGTATGAGAAGTTATTAGGTAGTATTGGTTATGTGCTTTAAATTAACGTTTTTATAGTTGTTTCGCATATAGGGGAAACTTATCCCGAGGACGAGTGTAGTCAAGGGCGACTCGGGGGCTACGACCCTTCGACATACCAGTGAGTGGGCTTTGGTTTTAAGTATATACGTATATGCTTGATATTTTCCTAGAAGAATGCATTTAAATGAGTTATGCTTTGAAAATGTCATGCCTATTGATTTATGCTTAAACCATGAGTTAGAATTGTATGCATAAATGTGATTTGGTGTTGTGGGCGCTCAGGTAAGTACCGGGTGAGTTTATGAATTGTGAATGTGTATTGAATGGTTGTGATTAATTGAGAACATTGAGCTCTTAAACTTGTACTCCGGTGTTAGTGATTAGCTAGAGATATGGCACATGCCTGTATATAATGTCATCTCCCGCACCATATGCTCACATTGGATCCAATTTAGGTGCACAGTCTTGTCATACAAACCATTATAGGTGGTTCCGACTCGTAAGTGACTAACGATTTATCGCACAGCTATAATGAGAATGTAGTAATGAGCATAATTAGATTATACCCAGTCTTGTCGTACAGACCTTTTAGTGGTTCCGACTTGTGTGCAGTGTAATACCGTATAGGTCATTTGTAGTGACTCCGGCTAAATTGACTAATGAGCTATGAATTCAGCCTTACAGACTTATGCAGAGGTTCTAACTAATGTGTTATTTCCCATTAATTTATTTTCACTTAAGTTACTTATCCTGTTTATATCTTAGCATGGCATAATTATGATTATGAATATGTGTAACATGATTTGAATGTGTGTGTGTGTGTATATATATATGTATTTGTTTGTATTCTATTTCTAGGAAAAAGTATACATATTTTACGGCGAGGGGTTAGAGCTTTTGAAAATTTAATGTGTTATCAAAACCTTTATTTTTGCACACTCACATCTTCTGTTTTGCGCCCCTCTAGGTTTTAGGTAAACTTGCTGTTGGTGGCATTGAGGATCTCGGTGGTTCTGACAGAATAAAATATTCGTAGGATATCTTTTGGTACTGTATTACTAGTACTTGTCATACTGGACTGCACCTAGACTTTCTATGCTCTGATTATGACTATTTACTCTTGTATCTCACTCCTAGCACTTTCTGCTTATTAGTGCACATTAGTAAATTTCAGTTTTTATTTATTCGTATATTTCTTATCCTTATCGCTTCCGCATTGTGCACATGGCTACGTCACCCTCACGTGACGGCCAGCACGCCTCGATCTCGGTCGGGGTGTGTCAAAAGTGCTTTGACCAATAGTCGCCTCTATTTTTTAAAATTAAAATAATTTTTTAATTTATCATTTTATCTGCATGATGCACTTTTCTTTATTTAGTGGAGATATTAGTAATTAAACTATATTTTCTCTTCTTCCGAATATGTTTTTTCGATCACAATTTTTTTTTGTCAAAATCTTTTTCAAATAGTTGGTGATCAACATAAAAGCTCAGTATAATTTTTTTTTCAATTTTTTGTGAAATTATATTTTTTTGTTGTTGTTTTTTTAAGTACAGTTGTTGACGAATTATTATTAGGTAGAATGCATTATGTATATATTATATGCAGGTACGTTTGAATTTACAAAAATCATTAATTGGTACATTTACTTGTAATTTTGGTACATTTGATTTGATACATTATTAATATTGGTACATTATTTTTATTTTGGTACGTTTTATTTTGTACACATTGTGTATTGGTACGTTTACATTATTTTCAATCCTATTTTCTCTTAACGTACTAAAAGAAAAACTTATTTCGGTACGTTTGATATTGGGGGATTTAAAAATATTTTAAATTATTTTGGAAAGAAAATATCTTAAATCATAAATAATTATTGCTAAATTGTAGCATTATTGTGAAAATAAATTGAATCTAAACTTTTTTTTTTTTTACAATTATCTCTAACGGAGGAGAGTGTAATCAAAAAGCTAGATTATAGGAAATTTATTACAATATAATGTGCATATAACACCAAAATTATGGTAAAAAAAACTTTAATCAAATCACTAAAAAGCATGAATGTTTGATCTAAAAAATTTAAAACTGAGGCGCCTATATCAAAAGATCCAAAAAAAAAAGAGTAACTTATTTTACACCATCAGTTTGCATACAATTATAACCTCAAACAATATCTTTTAAAACATTTCAATTTTATACATTACTTGTTATTTCATTTCAATTTTATATATCATTAAGAAATGTGTTCATTTCAATTTTATCTATCAGATAAAAAAACTATTATTTTTTCGGTATAATGCCTATGTGGACGTCACGGGTCTCACAATATAGATGCCACATGGATCCAAAGCACTCCCCCACACTTTCTAAACCGGTTGCATTATAAGTATGGTGTATGCTCACTATACACTTAAACATTTGTCATGTGTCATTTCACCTAATTCTAATTTACTTTCATATTAAATATTACTTTTTCAATTCTTAAAAAAAAAAAAAAATTAACCATTAAATAAAAAAAATACAGTGCCAGATAATTAGGTGTACGATGAGGATGTGGTTAGCTGAAAATGGTCCCTTCTAAAGCCCTCTCCAATTCTTCGCTTCACACAAAGCATGGCAAACCCAACACCTCCAGTCCCCTTTCTCCTCGCCCTTCTCCTCCTCCTTATTCTGCCCTTCATCTTTTCCCCAAGTGGCGAATTCGTCCGGTTCGCCGAGGCGGGAAAGCGCAGAGTCCACATCACCGACGACCTGGACGACGTCCTTGACGACGAGGAGGACGACACCTGGAAAGAATGGGGCAAGAAAACGAAACCCTCTTCCGATTTTGATCCGCCGCCCGATTTGTCGAAGATGGACATGTCGCAGATACAGGCGGAGATGATGAAACGGCAAACCGGGCCGGCTTTCGGGTTCGTGAAGCTGCGGATGGGCGAGAAGCGGACTCGGGTAATTCGAATTTGCTCTTCATTTTTGCTTTTTATTGGGTTTTCAGCTGAATGTGAACTGAGCATGTGGATTTTTTGTTGTTTGTTACTGGGTTTTGTCTCTGATCTAATAATTTTTACTTGGAACTTGAATCTGTTAATTTTAGTGTAATAAGTAAGGTAAGTTTCTGAGCAAATGTATATCGATTCGGCATTTCAAATTTGAAGGGCACTGAGAAGTTCATTGAAAGTTTTGAATTGGATTTGGCGTGTGGGACTTTCTGTGAAATGCTTCGGAATTAGAATAGAATAGGGTGCCTGTGAAAGAATTTGGTCGAATGATGGAAATCGCGGCTCTTCAAGCACACCTTTTCTTTTAAACAGATCGATGTTTGATCTGTGGGGATGGGGATTCAAACTCGGGTACATGGGGCGGGGACACTGCCCTGGCCAATTGGCGTAACCCCATTTGCACAAGCACACTACTTTTAACCTTTGGGACTAATAATGTGTGGAAAGTACTGATATTGCTGAACACTCCTGGATGCCATAAGGAAATTTCGTGGATGGAGACATGAATTGGAGACCTGTTATAGCTTTATGTTTGTATTTCTCGTTTCATTCTATATCTTACTGATCTCTATGTTGCAATGCTATATAGCATAATTTGAAGTTGATCTACTGGCTTCTAAGTAATAGAGATGACTTCATTTACATTTTCTTGTCAACTTTTGATGGTTTTTAATTTTTTATGTGATTGAATGAGGTTTTTTTTACAAGGCTTGAATGAATGGTAAATTTGATATGTGCTTCTCCCCCCTCCCAGGATACAGTGGCCGAGCTTGCTATGAAGTGGACTCAAGTTCTGAGGACCGGAGCAATTGAGGCAAGGTTCATGGGTGTTGATCTAAACACGATCATGTTCAACATGGAAAGAGGCCAAGACACAACAGAGGTACACTTTCCTCCCACGCTGGCTCTTTTTTTCCTCCGGATAAAGAAGTATTAATTCCCTCATGTCCGGCTGAAGAAATTGCTCTTAAGATGTCTTTAGTTTTTAAGAATACTTTTCACATAGAGAAAGGTTTGAATGCCTGTTGTTGTTGATCATGAATTCGTTCGTTTGAATTATTGAGCTGATTATTGCGTGTCGCGAGCTTCTGTGTTCATTTATTCTTAATATAGTTATATAATTTGTTCTTTTCTCAATTCTCCAGTTGAAGGAGTTTGCGTTGAAACAACCAGAGGCCTATGAGATAAAGATTGGCGATCAAGTTTTTCGAAGACCAGGAGATCCTCCTTTAGAGGAACTCGTTGAGAAGCTCCGGGATGAGAAAAAGAGAAAGGAGAGTGACAGTGCAACAGAGAGCAATATACATTTGAAAGAGGAATTGTAGTTGTACCAGTAAATTTTCTGACATGAAATATAATAACCCCTGTTGTAAAACCATAGCAACCTCCACTCCTAATGATGTTGGAAAAGGTAACTGTAAACGAGCTTTGTTTCTCGGAATTCTGTTTTTATTTATGAATTTGTTGTATGAAAGGAGACAAAGTGCTCTCAACTAGTTTAAATAGAGAAGATGCATACAAATTTCCGACTTAATAGTCTAAGTCTCCAACCGAATAGGGAACAAGATTGGCATGAACAGAAGCTACTTCAACTTCTTACTGAATTCAGAAAGCTCGACGATCTGAATCCTGGGAATTGTAGCTGCTTCCTCCCTCTCTTTCTGCGTATTGTACCCCCAATTCCCTGATCGAATTAATCCCAAGTTAGCAACTGAAGCTCAGACGAGTTTAAGTGTCAATGTTTGATGAGGCTCAAGGGAGAAGAGTAGAAACAGAGAAAGTTTACCTAGATACAAATTCCAACCATCCAATTCAGGTTCTTTGATGACATTCTTTAGGGTTGCCAAACGATCTTCGACAAAGCTGGTCAATGTCAAGCGTTATTGATCTCGTTCACATAAACTCGGTTAGAACATGTATTATGCTAAGCTTTAAGCAGAAAAGTATCTTACTGCAGTTTCAGTCCCTGATGTTCTGGTTTCTTTTGAATTTGCTTCAATACTTCTACCTTTGGACTGGAAGACGAATTAAATACTTCGTATAAGAGTAATCCATAGGCATACATACGTAATTAAAGTTATACATTACGGAAAGCAAACCATAACCATTGGTTCCGAAACATGAAATACGGATTAACAATAACTTAATACACTAACCCACTGCCAAGACCAAATATCTTTTCAGGCGGTATCGTCACTCCTGCAAGTTCTCGCAGCAAAGCATCAGCGAATCGGCTCTGTCCAAACGAAGAAAGGGAAATAAGGAGGTGAGAGAATGACAAGGGTGAAAGTTAGAGACGCAGAAGTGTACTCTCCAAGTAGAAAATCTGTAAAACGCTCGTTTATTGTGATCGGGAGAAAGAAAACCCGAAAGTCTCAGAAATAATTGATGCATGAGTAAGGGTAACACCTGTTTTGTGGTGACTATGTATATGGTTGAGCTTGCAAATCTTAGAGCATCAGGAACGCCTGGATATAATCTGCAATCAAGTTATCTCCTACTCAGTTATGCATTGAACTCTCCCAGCCCCAACAAGTTTGAGAGAGATGGGAATTCTGCGAAATGAAAATCGATCAACAGTGAAATAGTCCGAAATTCGGGTACCTATTTGCACCAATCCAAGTTTTCAAGTCCTCGTCCATCCATTCATCCCTGACCTTCCCGAAAAGATGAATAAGCGCATCCCTTTCTTCACCCCATTCTGCCATGATCACCGGCTTCAGTTCCGACCACTTGTCCAGTATCCCATCCACCGTGAGCCCGTCCGCTACGGAGGACTTCCTTATAGAAGGTATCCTCATTTCCAGCAGCAACCTCACTAGTAGCAGGTTCTCATACCCTGTTTCCACCACAGGTCTCACCTGCCACACCATAAAATTCATTTTACTCCTCCTTCAATCCAACAAATGTTAACGTTCTCTTGTCCGACAATCTACCATGTTGTTATCAGATTGTGAATAACGAGCATAATTCTATGTTTGCTGCTGTCCCGCAATCTAGCATGTTACGTTTCATTATTACTAAACACGGGTTTATGTTTTCTTGTTCAACAGTCAAACATATTATGTTATCAAACCGTCAACAACACCAACATGAACATACCGTAATTGTATCTAATCAACATGAACAATGTTCCGCTGTTCCACAATCTAGCATGTTTCGTTATCAGACTTTGAATTATGACCACACAGAAATGATGATTCTATCAAATTAGAACATGGGAATCTGGAGGACTTACTATGTACATCTGCTCAAGAACCCAATCCTCCAAAGCTGAATCCACGCCGTTGAATAGAGTTGGCCATCTCACTTTAGCAGCCTACACATTTCATAACCACCATTCAAACAAACTAATCAAATTAATTAATTAAACATTTTTAAGCTTTTAAATAAAAATAAATACAAAAACACAAAACATTACCTTCACAGCAGATTGGGAGCTCTCTCCGCAGCTATCACACAAAACTCCATCAAAATCCAGAGCGTATAAATCCCCCATCTCTCTCTCCCTCTCTCCTCTCAGAGCCTCTGGTCTGAGTGGTTTCTTTTGTTCTTTTATCGACGGAGGACTTAAGGCAGCGGGCGATTATTCTTCTCCGCATCTTTTGGATGGACTTTTATTGGGCTGAGCAGTTAGGCCTGCCATTATGGGCCCAACTAGAATGAAGCGTGGCCAGTCTTTGAGTACCCACTGCAAACGACATGTCGTCAAACTATGAAACGACAAGAGAAGGAGAAGGGTGGAGGTCAGGAGGTGTCACCACCACCGGGGGAGTGGCTGGCCCCGCAATGATTGAGTATGGTGGGGAATGTGGGGATAGGCTCATCATACAACGCACTTTGATCATATGAAAAAGGAGAATAAACGAATTAGGAAAGTTATCAAGCCTATATCATTCATAATTCATTTGCATCTTGACCCCACCAAGTTTGAGATTAGCGATATATCTTTTTTTTCAATATTTTAAGAGATCTTAAAATCAAATGTTCTCTTATTCTGCAGTTCAACATTACTTTTCGTGTGAATAAAATTTACGTGACTTCATCGACCCAAAAAATATTTATGTGACTTCTGGTAAAGAAAATAATAATGTTTTTGGGATAGACAATTAATTGAAACACTATTAAAATATTGTTGCCGTTCAATTGACATGCATAATTTTGCAGCGCTCACATGTAAACATGTTTATATTTGAACTATTCTGATAAAGCTCAACAATTCTTTTCATACATTTCTACTCATAAACTCTCTTTTTTTTATCTATTTTATTAAAAGCGCGTAAAATAAACTTCAAGCACTTTTATGATTCAAAAGTTTTTTTTTTTTTGCATTTCCTACCAAGTATTGATATGTAACTTTTTGTTTAGAATTTGTCAAATAACGTTCTTAGTTTTTGGAAAATATCAATAAATATTGTGAAATATATATTTTTTTTGTCAAACAAAATTACTTTCATTTAAAAAACTAGTACAAGAAAGAGAGACCAAACGGCTTCCTATAAACAAGGTAAAGTAAAAAGCTCCAGCAAAATAAGACTTGTAAGTTGTAACTCAAGATACAAAAGAAGATCTACATAAACATAGACCCTTAAATAGAAAAAATAAACAACAAAAAACCTAATCTAAAACAGTATAAACCAAACTGACGTCACAACCACATCCTTGAAGAAAGGTAAAATATTTAATTGCATGTCCTAAATTTAGCTTTCAATTCAAGACTTAATTTGATAGGAACATATCCAACCTTAAATTGGATACTAAAATTTACATTGAAAAATGGATATGGTGAGTAAATTTCAGATGTAAATACCAAGACATGTGTGCAATGGAAAAAATTTAGGACAACAACGTCACCAAAAAAACAAGGAAAACTGGCGTAACGCAGTAAAGTTCCTCGCTCTGCACACACGCAAACCAAAAACTTACCTGCTACAGCCGGTCAACCGATGCGTCCAGTTTCATCTTTTCCGCTATCGCCGGTTACCTTCTTCACCTCCCTCTCTTTTATTTCTCCAGAAATCTCTACATATAAAAACCCCACCCCACTTCCCGAGACAGTTTTCAATCTTCAACCTTCGACCCCATCTGAACGTCGTCGTTCCGATCCCCCATCGGGCCGTTTATATTTAACCGCTTTACTTTTTCTGTGAGTTCTTCGTATCGATATTAATTTCAATTTTTTATTTGTTTCGGGGAATTATATCGTCCGTTGATTGTTGTTTGTTTGCTCGTTTGTTGATCTGAACTCGTTTGATTAGGGTTGTGCTTGCTAGTTTTGATTGAACTGGCTCTTGTTTTGCTTTAATTTGATTTTTTTGGATGATTTTTATTGTTAATTTGTGTATTCAATAATTATCCACTCGCAAATTGTTCTGTTTGCTGGTTCATTGAGTGAAGATTTTGATTAAGTTCTTGAGGACTTGTGATTAAGTATTCGATTATTAAACAATTTTCTGTTGGTGTTAATGTTTGTTAGGAATTTGAAAAAAAAAATATATTTCACTTTTGATATTGTTGTATTTGTCGTTTGATATCCTCGATTCGGGGTTTTGAATGCACATCGGAACTTTGTTTTGTGAATTACTATGTTCGTTTGAATTGTATCGGTAGGAATGAAAAAACGTAATGTTTAGAGGCCAAAAGAGATTATGTATGAAGATTTTATTTTTATTCAATTCCCGTTGGTTCATTTTAGTTGATCGTCGCTTTCAAACGAAAGTTGCCTTTTGTGACCCGGAAGTTTTTGTGCTGTAACAAATCAGAATTGGATTTAATTAGTATCTCGTTTTACTGAATTCTGATTGTTTTTTTTGGTTGGTTATTTTGTGTCTACTTGTGCCCTGTACATATGAAACAGGAAGCTTTAAGTCCTTTAAGATGGCAGATAATGAGGAGAGAGAGGAAAGCACTGTGCGGGGTAAGATGGCAGATAACGAGGAGGGGGAGGAAAGTACTGCTCGTGGGAATGGATGGGAAGTTGTACAACTTACAGCATCTACGTATGCTGCTGCTCCTGGTCCAGGAGGAATTGAGTTGAGCAATGAGGATCAGAGTGATACCTATGGTGAGCATGCTGAATCTTCTCGTGCTCTTTTCATGTCTGGTCACTTTGCTTTTCCACCCAGTCAGCATGAGAATTTGCCGTTGGAGTCCGATAGAAGTGAAATTCATAATGAACATTTGGACAGTGATGTCTTAGCTGAGATAGGTATTGAAGAAGGAGGTAGGTCAAGTGGAAAGGAGGAAGAAACTTTGACTTTGAAAGGGTTGAATGTGCCAGATGAGTTTGCAGGAAAACAGTCTGTATATGATAAGGATAACATGCAATTGATTGGTGATACAGAGTTTGAAGAAGGTTTAATTTTGGCTCACAAAGATCAGATTATAATCGATGCTGCTACATATCATTTTGACGGTGAAACAGATCTTGGCAGCTTAACTCATTTTGGTGAGAGTCCCACTATTCCTGGACTCGAGGAACCTTCAGAACAAGGTTTAGGTTTCTCTGAGGACATCATGCAATCCCCAAGGTCTCAGAAAGATGATAAACTTGATGTTTCTCGCCTGCCCTGTGGAGCTTGGTGGAAAAGAAGAGCTGCTTCCTTGTATTCTCATGCAAAAGAAGCAAATGCAGTTTGGTCTATTTTCGTAGCAGCAGCTGTGATGGGGCTTGTGTTACTTGGGCAGCGGTGGCAAAATGAAAGGTGGCTGGCTCTACAGCAAAAATGGCTGTTGAGCGTCAATGATCAGGTCTGTCGATTTCCATTGTTTTCTCTTATGATTATGTTTGCATTTAACTATTTACTTGTTCTTTCCCTGGTCAAGGAATCGATATCCCATGTTTGTTGGTTTTTATTTTTGGCCTGATCTTACATTATGTCATAAATTTCATGATGTAAGCATTTTATGCAATTTAGAGACGTATGCCTTGAAAAGTGTTAAGTAGTTGATTCAGTTGATATTTTGCCTCCTCTCTTTTCTTTGTGCAAGATTCACCGTGATGTGTCTGTACATTATTCAGTTAGTTCCTTATTCTTGATGTAATATACATGGGGTTACGATTTGTCTCCTAGTTGAGTGGAGAATCAGGTTATGGCTTTTAATTATATTTTAAAATTTGATACCAATTCTTTATCCAAAGATTAATTACATTGGAAACACGACTTTTCCCAATCTGATGACCTTACATGAACTCACATCATGGTACGGATGATAAGTAGCTTGTTGTTAACCAATAATAGCGTGCACTGACATGCAAGGCAAATGTGCATTCTTAGAATCCTAAGATTTGAACTAGTGATAAGTTGCTTATATGATTGAGTTTGCTTCTACCAAGAGGAAAGCCTAGTTCGATGACACTGACATTATGTTATATTGACAGAAAACAGGAAGGATGATTGGTCCCATATCCCGTCTTAAAGACGTTATAGTGAGCAGCCACCGCCGAGGATCCTTTATCGGGAGCGGCTCCTCAAGCGAGGCTTAAGATGATGACGAAAAATACCATGGGTGAAGAGAGAAGTGATGGAGTTGGAGATGCAGATGAGGGTTACATATTAGTTTGTTTCCGATGTGGTTGATATATATTCCTTTTATGGATAGTTTTACTTGGCTACATGCTAAAAGTTTGATATAACCGTCGTATGATCTTTTTCGATCACCATGAAGTTGCCGCTGTACAGAGCTCTTACTTGTTACGATTTCTATGATTACGTTTTTTTGTGTTGTGGCTGGAGTTCTGCTTGTGATTGTTGTGAAGATAGAAGTACATTTTGTTGAATTTCCAGAATTTGTAAACCGGAATACGGAGTGAATTTTATCATGGTAAAGCTCTATTTGCACTCATTGCTTTGCCTATTTCAAAATGCAATTCATTTAGTAAAAATAACCGATCCATTCGATTCCTGTCTAGTTTTGATAGGTTTGATGATTTGACGGATTGATTTTGGATAAATTTTGTGTGGCTTCAATGCCACATATCATATAATGATACGGTGTTTTAACATTTCAGTCGTTTATTCATATATCATTTAATGTTATATGGTACTGATGAAAATTTTCATGCGTAATTTCCTTTATGCATGCTCATTTTATATTCTTTATTGATTTTCATTTGATCGTTTCAATCTAAAACAAAAAATAAATAGTTGATTCTTACTGAGGTTTGAAAAAAAATCAAAGAATACCTCCAAACATTGTACTCGGCCCATCATAACTCGATTGTACCGTAAATCATGATGACGTTCCATACTAATAAAATAAATAATTGTTCCTTGTTTTATTTACATGTCTTTATTTCTTTGATATGAAGCGTCGCGCGACACTGTGTACCATGCCATAAAATTGCTCTCAATCACAATTTCTATGGTACCGCATCTTACGGTGGACCTTCACACCCACAATCCAGTTTAGGGGTGGGTTCAAAAAACCGAAAACCGAAAAAAACCGAAAATCAAACCGAACCGAGGCCGAAAAAAAAAATCATTTATAAAAAAAAAAATATGTTGGCCGCGTCAAGGTTTGAACACCTAACCTGCGGGTTGGGGTAAGGTGCTGCTAGCCAACTTAACTGTAGGCTTTGTGTTGTTGTAATTGTACCAGTAATATATTTATAGGTTTCTTATGTTTAATGCTTTATAAAATTTCTTAACTTTACAAACCCTAGCCGACGTCTCACTCCCATTTCATTTCAGATCTCACACTTCTTTCTTCCGTCCGCTGCTTCCTCAGTCTCTCTGTCTCCCTCTCTCTGTCTCCCTCTCCCTCTCCTTCCTCTCTTCCTCCAAATCACTTTCTCCCTAGTCTTCTCATGTCCTCCTCACGGATTCCTTCTTCCAAATCATGATTTTCGCTCGCCCCTTTCGAGACCCGACGAAAAGAGGAACTGTTAGAGCTTGAGATGATCATGGCGATTTTGCTGCAGCAAAGGTTGTGGGTTTTATTTATTTGTCAGTTCATGGGTTTTTAATTTTATGATCATGGCGATTTTATGGTTACCCATTTGAAATTTATGTAATTTAAGGTGAAAAAGTTTGTATTTTTCTTTGAATATGTTTCGGAATTTTCTAGATCTATTGTGGACTTGACTATGAATTTGAATGTGGGCACTGGGCATGCGATATTGGAGTCCGATTATGACATTTAGACGAACTTATTTGCTTTTTTTTTTGTGTTTCGATCTGCATCTTAATTTGTTGAATTATTTCATGATTTTGTAAATTTTAAATTTTTTAGAATTTTGAATCCTGGCGATGTACTTGAAGAATATATGTTTCTGTATTTGCTTAAGTTTTTGAAAATTTGAACTCGATCTGCTTGATCATAAGTAGTTGAATTACTTGAATATATTCGGGATTTTGAGGTGAGAAAATGTATATGTTTGGTTAGTGAGAAAATGCATGAAGGTGAAAGGTTAGTACCTAAAATTGCTGAGTTCAAGTTTTTCGGTTTGTTGTAAAGTTTTAGCAAAGACTCATTGGGATTTTCATATGGTTCTTCCTCTGTGTAGTCTTAAAAAGGGAATTAAATTCTTTTGCGTCTCTTATTTTGTTTATGGCTTTGTATTTGTTTTCCATAGAGGAAAGGCTACTTTGAACAATGACCCAAATACTAGGCACTCTGTGAACCAAATAAAAGAAATGGATGCTTGGCATATAACTCAAGGAATGTTGTGGTTGTTTTGCATTTTTTGGGGACGAAAGGGAAAAAGTATGCCAATACAAATTAGAAATTAAAGAGTAAATCGGGGGTTGAGGATTACCTGATCGGAAAGCTCACCAGCAAGTCTGCCGGAACGATGATAGAAACGCGGAGGAGTGGCGGTTGTGTTTTCGTGAGAGTGTTATCTGATTTGAATCGAAACCCTAACAAAGTTAGCTGAGATAAAAGAGAGAATAAAAGCGCGGGAATCTTACTTCCCGCCAATTAACTTTTATTCTCTCTTTTATCTCAGCTAACTTGTTAGGGTTTCGATTCAAATCAGATAACACTCTCACGAAAACACAACCGCCACTCCTCCGCGTTTCTATCATCGTTCCGGCAGACTTGCTGGTGAGCTTTCCGATCAGGTAATCCTCAACCCCCGATTTACTCTTTAATTTCTAATTTGTATTGGCATACTTTTTCCCTTTCGTCCCCAAAAAACTCAAATTCGTGAGGGTAATTTATTAATTTGGTAATTGTTTTTGGGGGGTTTGCTTCAAAATTTGACTAGGGGAGTGTTTGGATATTAAATGATGATTTTATGATGTTGGGTATTGTAATACATTGATTTATTTTGCCCAAGTAATCGGCTTTTCCGGTTCTTTAACATGCGTTTGAAAGGCTGATTTCCTTTGAAGTTAATTGTAATACATTGATTCATTTGCATCCACTATTTTCGTGTTGGTTTGCGGTGTGATTACTAAGTTATTTGTTATCGATGTTGTCTACTAAAATTCTCTGTCTTTAATCTTGATGTTTATTTTGGCTAGAATTCAGACATGGGTAAAGAGGAAAGTCCGAAAACCACAAGGAGAACAACCAGATCCTCCGCTTTAGCTACCCCTTCAAAGAATGTAGTTGAAGAAACTAAAGCAAGTAGTTCGCACCCGCCAACTCTCAGTGACCTAGTATTGGGTGAAAAAGGAGAATCCTTTAGTGCCGATGATCTTTTGTCTAGTTTTCCTGGAAGACGTAATCAAATATTGGAGCTTCTGCGCCTTCTGGGTCCACAGAACTCTCCCATGTTTCCTGTCTTTGTGTATGGAGGCACTTCTACCGGGAAAACCAGTATTGTTGTAGAGACATTTAGGCATCTTAAGCGCCCTTTAGTTTATTCAAGCTGCCTTACCTGTTATAATCCTCGAATCTTGTTTGAATCCGTTCTGAACCAACTATTTCTTCACCGAAAGAATGCAGCAAATGGTTATTCTAGTGCAAAGCGCTGTGAAAGCCCATCTGATTTTGTTAATTTTCTTCGCGATGCCTTGGTCAGCATTCTGGTTAATACTAAGGGAAACTCGGGGAAAGTAACCTCCAAAAGGTCAGGAAAGTCTAATGGAAATATGATCTACTTGGTCTTTGACAATTTGGAGCGTCTTAGAGGATGGGATAAGGTTCCACTATATTACCTTTACTATTTAATCTCTATGACATTTTGAAAATGCCTGAGGTCGGTCTTATCTTTATCAGCAGTGCCTCGCCAGATACATATTACTCAAATATGGGCTATGTGGAGCCTATCCCTCTATATCTTCCTGATTATACACAAGATGATCTGCAGAAAATCTTCATGAGAAACCAGGCAAACAAAAAGCTTTACTCCTCTTTTCTCAGGTGCGAAAATAGTTGTTTTTCTTCTTTGTACTCATCTTTTGCCTTTTGGTTTCTACTGATGGACTCTTTTTCTTTCTGGTTAGTGTTGTGCTAAGGCCCTTCTGTAGAATTACCAGACGGGTGGACGAGCTTTCTTCTGCCTTTTCACCATTATTCACAAAATATTGTGAACCCATCACTGATCTGAATGTTGTTCCCAATAAAGAGACGAACCAAAGGCTGTACAATTTTTTTCGTCCCCATATTGCTCCTGCACTGAATGAGACATTTAAGGTTTCGTCGCAGCAATCCCCCGAAGTTGAAGTTAAGGAGAGAAAAGGAAAGGGGGGCACAAGGAAATCCAGAGATTTTGAAGTTGAAGAATTAGATTTCCATATGCCTACTTCCGCCAAATATCTTCTTATTGCAGCATTCCTTGCTTCAAGAAACCCAGCTACCCTTGATTCATCCCTGTTTGATTCTACAGGAGGTTCTAATAGTCGAAAACGAAAGAGGAAGTGAGTCTTTTAAGAATAATTATAGACACTGGTACAAATTTTAATTTTGTTTTTTATGCTATCATTAAAGTTAATACTGCTGTAATCTTTTCAATACAAGGTCTGACATTCCCAAATCCTGCAGAAAACTACGCTAAAATATAAGTGTGTTCTTAAGCATGTAGCCACCTGCTTCCATTTTACCTTAGCCTAACCAGTTTTTTTTCGATATGTTGTGCAGAACATCTAGATAAAATTTCTGACATCTTTTTACTGCACTTATTCAGTGGAGGAAACCAAAATTTCTGCAACTTGCAGATCAACTATCTTTGCACCTTTTGTTTTGGCATTTTGCAATGCAGCAGTTGTAAACACTGAATTATTCTGAATAATGCTTCTTGATTGATGGTTAGGCTTTCGGACAAGTCAATGGAACAGAAGGAAACTGCAGAACAGGAATTGCTTTTGAATCCTGGATCATTCCCAATGGAAAGGTTATTAGCCATATTTCAGTGCATTACATCTGTAGGAGAAGGTCCTCTTGATGAGGAGGAACAAGAAGATGGTGGGTTAGGCATTCAAGATGGGAATGGCGGGCTCATGTCTGATGTTCTCTTACAACTGTCCAGTCTCTGCAGTGCTAATTTTATTGTCACTGGTGGAAGCTGCCCGCTGGAAGGCTCAACTCGATATCGATCGACAGTGAGTGAAGATATGGCTCTTAAGGTAACCTAACGTTTCCCAAATTGAAATTATACCAAAATTTTATGTTGTAAGGTTAGTAATTCTTTTGAAATTACGTAACATCTTGTTTATATTTGGATTACAGGTAGCAAGGAGTATTAAGTTTCCTCTCTCAAAGTATATATACAGATGATCTGCTTTCGGGTGAGGTATCTGTGATACGGTTGCCAATTTATTCTTGAGGATGAAGCAACTTACCTGGTTTTCAACTATGTTACCCTCCTACTGTGTTGAATCATTGAACTCTCCAAATTCTCTAATCCTCATCTTTGTTGAGCAACATGAAATGACTGGTATTGAGTGGATATACCGATTGTCGTGGTCTTTCTGACAGCTGGGATAACACCATTGAACATAAGTTTCAGACAGTATCTTGGTGCCAAGTTTCTGCAGGATTGCCATCTAACAATTGTAGTAAACCACTTATCCGTGTTACATCCTAGTAAGTTGCAGGGCATGGAAATGTCGTTTCCTTATACAATGTCGATCACAATTCTGGAATTGTTTTCCTATTTTTGTTTCCTTCCGCTAAATTTCAACGTAGTTGATTCTTCCATTAAGGTTTGGTCAGATGTAAGTGCTGTTTGCAGAGAAGGGCAGCAACATTCTCGGCCGATGCTAAGCTTTAGCCTCACAATGTGATACATCATTCTAAGCCTATTGCACGCTCCGAATCCAAATCAAAATTGGAAGAACAATAAGAGTTATGGCCCTGCAGAGGGAATTTTATATCACATTCACATGGCTCTGCATTTTACAAAAAAAGTGGTAAGCGAATATCTCACAGCTGCAAGAGATGTACGCATCATAGGACAGTGTATCAATAGGTCATAATTTTATTATTTGATGAATCATATGACAGAAAAATGTCGACTTTGCCAGATTGTTCAGTAGGTCTCACTCAAAATTTCATCTTAAATGCAATTTAGAGCAGGGACGAGTTGATGATGCTATATATGTTGCTGCATAACCTTATCTGAGCCCATGAGTGGTTGAAACGGTAGGAAGAAGGATAATGCTTGTGTCCCCTATGGGGACCAAGTCCCTCCACTTTTCTTACCTTATCGTCTGAACACCATGATTGGAACCATTCATTCTTTTTATCATAATCTAATGATTATACATGCAAAAAAATATTCATTTTAGAGAGCCATTCATATGCACAAAAAACAGATGGTTCATAATAAGGATGATATTTGTGACTAAAATCGTTGATTGATTTAACGTGTATGAATAACTAAACCATCACGGAATTAAATGATTTTTTACAAATATAATCTTTAGATGATGACAAAAACAATTAACGATTCTGCTTATGATGTTCGAAGGATAAATATTCATTAATAGTAAGTGGAGCGCGAGTAAATCCTTTTAAGAGAAACACATGCATTGTCCTAGAAGGAATTAGTATTCAGAACGTTGAATTGGCTAGTATTTTGGGGTCCCCAAGGCCTTATTTCTCGTTTGGTCCAGCCGGGGAGGTGGATCAATGTATCATATTTGTTGGTCATCAATGCGTTGGATTGGTCCAGCATGGGAGGTGGATCAATGTATAATATTTGTTGGTCATCAATGCACAGTTGGATGTTTCAATGGCAGCGAAGATTTTAACTTGTGATCTTTTTTAATATCAAAAAGAGAAGTACCAGAACGTTCAGAAAAAAAAAACCTAATGTTATTTCAAGTCGGTTTTGAATATTTTGCTTAAGAACTACTAGAGTTGTGGCCAAAATTTTAACCACTAGCTAGAGTTTGGTATTGTTAACACTCAAAATTAAGAGATCAACATAAAACAGTATGGTCCATTTTTCGTCAACTCGTGATATAAAGCTAAATTATGAACAAAAGAATTTAAGTGGTTCATCCTAAAAATGGGCTACGCACACTGCATTGATATGATATATATATATATATATATATATATATATATATATATATATATATATATATATATATATATGATATGGATTACAAGAGTGCTCTTCTACCAATTGGCTTGAGCGGTAGGAAAGTACTTTAGGTTTTGCGCTCATCTTTTCTTGTTGGTAGACAATCCAGAATTATGAGTAGTTGGTAATGACGGTCGTCTTTTATCATTGTGGGGTTTTGTCATCTAAATTCTCTGGGCTAGTTTGCAGGCCCATCTCATTAAGCCCAACAATATTTTAAAGGGTATAAAAGGATCCTGTGTTAAGCTGACAACACTTGATCATTATCAATACATGCCGTCTTATTATTTAATTGGAGAAGAACTTAAGTTCAAATTTCACGGACGACGTATCATTATCAACAAATGATCTTCGTTTTATTGGAGAAGACTTGAGTTCAAATTTTATGGACAATGATTAATAAAAAAAAACTCGATCAGAGATCATGCTTTGCAAGCCACCCGACCTACATGATGTTGTACCTAAATTTTCTTGTTCTGTTCAACTACTTAATTCTAGGTCATTAGGAGCCAAAATATGTATCTAAACAAATGGGGGAAGCATAGGCTTTTCTAAGGAATGTCTCGATCAAAACCATTCACCCGAAAATTTCCTGTTATCGTGTAATTAACCGTTTCGATTTCTATAACAAAATGGATGGTCATTAGTTCCACAAATGAAAGCTTTGTATTGATGTGGATGGATTTTGGACGAGGGAGATGATCAGTCTTTGAATAGTTTTATATTTTGATAAATACACTATGATTATTTTGATATTATAGCAACTCAAACCTATTTGCATGTAATGCTTTGCTCTTTTGAGGAAATGCCTAAAAGAAGGCTGGTTTTCCCTTATAAGTTTCAGTACCAAAGTTCTCTGTTTTCCTTAATTAGCATGATGAATGTGATAATATGATACCATCTCTTACATATAGGGAGAAAAAACGAAACAAAATTGCAAAGTGGTTGCCTAGGTAAACTCAAGATTTTGACTTTTCTACGAACCGGTGAAATTAGTTTGATTTGGTTGGTTTGAACAATTTGGTTGGGTTTTTGCCCGTCTTTATTTCAAACTAATCCTAAGTTGTTCAATGCGGCATTGAGTTGATATGCTATAGGTTTTGACCTACTTACGTACAAACGGGTGAAATTGGTTTGGTTGGCTAGTTTGAGTAGTTTGACCGATTCTTTGCCCATTCTTACTCCAAACTAGTCTTAAGTTGTTCACTAGGAGTCATTATTTTATATGGAGAATTTAACATTCCTGCAAATTTGGTGTAATTGATTTGATTTGGCTAGTTTGAACAAATTAATTTACTTGGTTTTTACCCACCACTACTCCAAAACTAGTTCTAATTAAGTTGTTCAATATGTTTCCCAACCCACGATCCAAACTAATGTAAGCTCTTCACAACATAAGGGGTCAATGGGTTAATGTTATACATGTCAAGAATGTGAAGGGATGTGTTAATGTTGGTGGTGTTGGAATTTTGGATCGTCGAGCCCGCCTCATTCTAACAACATTGATACTATCTCTAACTTTACCACATGCCTAATCCTTCAGATGTTGGGTTTTATCACAGATGCGGGGTTTTATCACAAAAGGCATTGGTGTATTAGTTGGAGTAGGGTAATACTATTTAAATCTTTTGGTTTCTTTTCACCCCACCAATGTGGGACTTTAACACTCCCCTCACGTGTAACCGCATGAGATCCACATCGGTAATTGAAACTCAGAGGAGGTCCACTCCCGTTGGGCCTACTTGTTTTCAATAGAATTCAGCGGTCGTCTTTATATTAAGAATTCAGACTTGTTTCCTTATGGGTGACAAGCTCATTGGCTTGCACGGGCCCGCACCGTGGCTTTGATACCATGTTGGAATCTTTGGATCATCGGGCCCGTCCCACTCTAACAACCTCGATACTGTCTCCAATTTTACCACTGCCCAATTCGTCAGATGTGGAGTTTTATCACAAAAAACCCCGGTATTAGTTAGAGTAAAGTACTACTATTTAGACCCCACGGTTTCTTTTCACCCCACCGATGTGGGACTTTAACAGGTAGTGCATGCATGCACCGTTTTGTGTAATTTGTGGATAAGCTGTCGGTCAGAAAAAACATTATCCCCATGATTTTTCTCATGCAATGTGCACCATGAGGTGATGAGGAAAACCGCAGTATGTAATTTGTGCACAAACTGTCGGTGTCTATAAACTTTTGAATTACATGCAAATATATATTAAAAAATATCTAAAAAGTAAAAATAAATGTGTGAAGTGAAGGTCATTCACTTTCATTTATTTTACACGTTTGCGTGTTAACTATATAATTCATTAAAGATGAGTAATGCTACACTTACCACTTATTGTATCATTTTTCCAATAGAGGTAAAGTATGCTAACACATGTGGGTTCTATTTCTATTAAATAAATAGTACAAATAAATAGTAAGAGTAATATTTTTGTTAAAAAATTTATAAAAAAAAGGTCTTGTAAAGTAAGAAAGCAAAATATCTAACCAGTGCATGGTCAATGTGATAAGTTTTACACGAAATGATTCGGCATGAATAAACAAGTTTAATTAGGTCTATTGGTCATTTACATGGAGCTTGAAAATCCCATGGCTTTGCTAAAACGAATAATTAAAGAATTATGCAATATCAAATACAAATGATTTGATTTTAACATATTACAAAATTCTTTCTTTTCTTAAACAATTTTGTGTTTTATGCACTTTCTCCTAGAACAATTTTGTTTAAATTCTTTTTATTTTAATTGATTTACTGTGATATGACAATTAAAAAACAAAAATCAACACTTATAGACTTAGTTTCGAGAGGATTGATTTGTGCAAAACTATTCATTATATTAAAGGCACATTGAAAGAAGAAATGAATGACAACTTCCTTAACTATATTGAAGTAAAAAATGGATGACACTTATAGGCCTTGTTTGTTCACGACGATTGGATTCGGTAAAACTATTCACTATCTATATTGAAGACATTTTGAAGGAAGAAATTGATTATAGTTTCCTTAATTATTTTGTTCAAGTTAAAAATTACCATGAAGAAATGGATGACAACTTTCTTAATTATTATATTTCTTCATGAGTAATCTTCAACTAGGACAAAGAAAATTATCATTCATTTATTTCTTCAAAATACATTCAACATAGTGAATAGTGCTATTCAAATCAATCTTTTCATAAAAACGAAGCCATATTCTTCAATAGTTCAATTTATGGTTTACAAGTCAAACTACTTGCTAGCTAGCTTTGCATGCGAATTGCGATTAATAATTCTCGGATGATGAAAGCTAGCACAAATATGGGCCCAGTTCTGGGAAATTGAGATGATCAATGGAGGTTGTATATAAAGGAGAACTAATGAAAATGATTTGAAAATTTTAAGTTTTAACGATAAGGACAAAATAAAGGGTAAAGTGAATAGTACCATGATCGACTTTTTAGTGTAAAAATGTGGTTTTTCGTTAAAGTGAATAGTACCGGGAGCTTTTCGTTAAAATACCCTTAATAATGCTTGTGTTCGGAGAACCTATGATTATCCATTAACATATATTCGAGGTACGAATGTAATAATCGGAATTGTTCATTCTCTTTATCATCATTTAAATACTGCAAAAATTCAATCTAGATATCATTTAGCCATCTATATATATCAAACCAACCAACAAATTTTTTTATAACAAATAGCATCCTCATGATGACCGTCTACAAATGAATGACTAAAAGATCTATAAATTAATTTTTTTTTTTATAGAGATCATCTTTAAATGATGATTAAAAAAAATTCTAATTACAAAGTTTGTACGTTAAAAATACATTATCCTATATATAATTCTAACCCATTTTACTAGTGTATACTCAAAATACAATGTGTAACCTAGCTAATAATTAAGTGAAGCTTTGTCAGAATTGCACATGATGTGATTAAATTTGATGACACTGTTCGACATGTTGCTTAGCCAAGCACACCTAAATGGTGGAATGGTTTAAAAAAAAAAAAAAAGGGTTAGGTACACTCTCACAAACACATTTCATGATCAAATGCATGGTGGCCTCACGTAAGGCTGGCTTAATCACATTCACATTCACATTTACAATCGGATAAATTCGCAGAGTAATGTTTTCTTCACATTCACATATACAATCGGATACGTTCGTAGAGTAGTGTTTTTTTTTGTCAGACTTTCACTTTTAAAGTAGAAAGCTGCTTCTATATAAGTTCAATATGTAATGTTTTCTGGTTAGATTTGTGTGCTTGACACCCGCACGTGCACGCACGCGCGCGCGCACACACACATATATATGTATATGTATATGATATATTATCATACTGTGAATCTAAATCAAGTAAGAATCAACCTGAACAACTATTCATCTTATTCATAGTCGGATAACACATGCATGATCTCATACATTCTCGGTCACAATACACATCTTATATATGTCTGATAAGAGAACATTGTACCAAATTTGTAAAACTTCCTTCATTTCATTGCAATTTATGATAGGGAATGTCAACGCTTATTGCCGCACAAGAGCACAACACAAAGCTTGCCAGGTTTCATATGCATCCTGATATATGATGAGCTCATTGAACTGCCAGAGTCTGCCCAAATGTGCAAAAATTGAGATCGGCATTCAGGTGACCTAAATATATTGTATAAGGGTTTTGACTTTCTTCCTTCATGTTATAGATACAGAGAGAGGCGCAGAGTCTTTGGAGGAGGATTCTCTACCCTCCTATTAGAGAATCTTGCTCCCAGTTTTTGATCGTTCATTGATTATACAGCATTGAAAGTGAGAGGGTCAAACCTGTGAGTGAAGAATCCCACAATATTGTTTGTACTACTATCCATACTCTCTTCTGCTCTAGGAGGGGGCTCTGCAGAATCTGAGAGGATAAAGATAAAGCTAGATAAGCAAAAAAGAGTCTCACAAGCTAAAAACAAAGAGAGGTTGGGGTATTACCCAACCCTAACCAAAAAGACCCACATGAAGAACCCCATTTTCCTCATTTAAGTTCAAGACTTATAATTTCATTATAAGAATGGAAAGCCTAAACTATGAGAAATTCTGTTGTAATCTGTCATGTGAGGATAGAGATACGTATGTAAAGATATGTTCCTAGTTAGAGCAACTCCACCCATGGAGCCTTCCCCCCTAGCAATCCACTATTGAATCCACCCTTTTGAACAGTAACTGCCTCAAATGAATAGTAACTGTCATTAATGAACAGTAATTGCCATTTGCATCTCCACCCTTGGAGCCCTCCCCCCAGGCAATAAGCAATAAAATATTAGTTTTTTTTGTTTGTTTAAATAATACAAAATAAAATTATTTGTAATTTCGGATAAGATTTTTTAAATCGTTCTCGTTGCGCCACGTGTCATTTTATAAAAACAAACAAATATTTAGCGATGGATTTCGATAAGATTTTTATCCAATGTCATCGTGCCACGTGTCGTTATTTTTTGAAAATCTTTGACGATAGATTTTGATCAGATTTTAACTCGTTCAAAATTACGCCACGTGTCATTATCCGAAAAGATAATTATTGGAGATCGATTTCAATAAGATTTTTATCCAATGTCATCGTGCCATGTGTCGTTATCTTTTGAGAATCTTTGACGATAGATTTTGATCAGATTTTAACTCGTTCGAAAATAAATTATTGGAGATCGATTTCGATAAGATTATCCGAATTTTATATTGGAGATCGATTTCGATAAGATTTTTCCGATCGTGCCACGTGTCATTATCTTTTCAAAATCTTTGAGGATAGATTTCGATTAGATTTTTAACGAATGACGGCATGCCACGTGGCCTCATCTACAATCCGATCCTTTTCTGAATCGTCCATATAATCCACCATCCATCCTCACAAATCTCACACCAATTTTCTCAACATCTCTATCTCATTATTCATAATTTCTGCTTCTTCTTCACCATCCATCCTTAGAATGTCTTATTCTTCATCAAGGATGATGTGGGAAATCGATCAGCAAGAGGAGGAATTGTTTAACCAATCTAAAGGAATGTTCAACCTTCAGATAGCCGAAAATGAGATGGAAGAGGATGAGGAGCGTAGAAGGAGAGATGATGAAACAAGAATGGCCAGAGCCTCACATTCCCGTCGAGTCATCCAGACTGTTGCTCAGATATGCAGGCCCAACCGTTCAAGAAACCTTGATAGAAGCAGGCAACGACGGGGTGAAGAGCTGTTGGACGATTACTTTGTCCATAACAGTGCATTTCCTGATACGTACTTCAGACGCCGTTTTAGAATGGAACGACATTTGTTCAACAGAATCATGACTGATGTTTGCAATCATGATTCTTACCTTGTGCAAAAGAAGGATGCTTGTGGTGTTATGGGTCTCCTGCCTGAGCAAAAAATCACTGCTGCGTTGCGGATGCTTGCGTATGGAGCATCTGCAGACCAAGTGGATGAGATAACGAGGATGGGGAAATCAACCATTCTTGAGGCCCTGATGAGGTTTTGCGGAGCAGTTGAATCTTTGTACACCGCAGAGTACCTCCGAAAACCTACTCACGTGGACTTGCAAAGGCTTCTGAAGAAGGGCGAGATGCGAGGTTTTCCTGGGATGATAGGAAGCATCGATTGAAGCCTTCTTACCTAGAGGCCTAATTGGATAACGGGTCGACCCCGACGCTTGTTCAGGAATGGGCGTTTCAGGCACTTCTTCTCCATCTTCTTCATCAACATGGGAGCCATGATCAGGTGTAGAGTGTGGAGGGGTGCTGTGTACAAAGGTGCTGTGTAGAGGGATGTTGTTCATGCATACTTCTGGACCAACAGGCACAACTTTGAATTTAGGACAATCTTTAACAATATTCCAACATTCCCACTGGGTGAATGATTTGTTTCTTGATTTGATTTTGGCACCATACCATGCTTGTGCTTGAAGTTGCTACAAATGAATAATATTGAAATTATTAGGTAACAAATAAATAATACAAACAAATGAATAATAATGAAATTATTAGGTAACAAATAAATAATACAAACAAATAATAAAATAATAATAAATGAAATTATTAGGTAACAAATAAATAATACAAACAAATAATAATAATGAAATTATTAGGTAACAAATAAATAATACAAACAAATAATAATAATGAAATTATTAGGTAACAAATAAATAATACAAACAAATAATAATAAGAAATATTAGGTCACAAATAAATAATACAAACAAAATAAAAACAAACGAATAATAATGAAATTATTAGGTAACAAATAAATAATACAAACAAATAATACTAATGAAATTATTAGGTCACAAATAAATAATACAAACAAATAATAATAATGAAATTAGGTCACAAATAAATATTGCAAACAAATAATAATAATGAAATTAGGTAACAAATAAATGAAACAAACAAATAATTATAATCAAATTAGGTAACTTTTCTTAATTTTAAAACTATTTTTTCTTTATTTATAAAGCATATTAATATCGACCGTTGATCTCAGATCGAACGGTTGATATTAAATCAAATTTTTTTTTTTTTTTACCGTTGAGATCCAACGGTCCAAATGAAGGAGCCGTTGAGATCGAACGGACCGTGGGAAGCCATGTGGCTTCCCAACGGTAACTGTGAAAAGCTGTAAAGCTGCCTGTTTTTCTGAAAAGCTGTCGGGCGACGCGCCCCCACACGCGAGTGGGGTGCACGCGCCTGACAGAAAAAATTAAAAAATGGGCTTGGAGCTCGGGCTCCGGAGCTGTCACAAATTGACAGGCCCCCTGCTCGGGCCTTCTCTACGAGCTCGGGCCCCTTGTGGCTGGACCCAGTTGACAGGCCCTCAGGCCTTTTGTTCTCGCCTGTCCCCCGGCCAATTGACATGGCTGGAAGTGCTCTTACAGTGCATGCAAGAATCCGCTAAGTTAGGGTGACTCATTTTCAACCCACTATTGACCCATTTAAAACACCATTGGTGACTTATTATATTCAGCAGACACAATCAGTGTGCTTCTCTGCATTTGAGTTCAAATTTTGTTTCTTTTCCTTTTAACAATTTTTATGCAATGAAGATGTAATAGTGAGTGGTACGAAAAATAAACGATTGTCTGTGGGTGACGGTGACTTTTTTTATATTTGCAATATAATTATCATTGTTTGATTTTGTTCCTGGTCTCTCTCCTCTTATGCTATACAGTTCCTCAACTAATCCCATTAAATTTTCCTCTTCATTCAATGCTCTTAAATTAAATCTCATCTTCCATTTCCAGTAAAATTAGGTGTGTAAATGTGTGTGCTTCCTTGTGTGTGCATGAGAGAGAGAATTGCATCTTAATTTGCTAGAGCCACTGGTTTTCTAGAGAGGGAAAGAGAGGTTTTGAGCTAGCTAGCTTTAAAAAAGTTCAACGACCTCTGAAAACATTTATGGCGCCTTTGCTGTGCTGTGTAGCTTAATTTTTAGTGAGAGAAAATACAGAGAGCAATGTCAAGGACCAGTCTGTCCTCAATAAATTGCTCACCTATAAATCTCTCTCTATAATACTCAATTTTGCACCTCCATATCTTCTGCTTCCTCTCTCTCTACTTCTTCTCTACTTCCTCATCAAATCACCACCTTATAATCTTCATCTATCAATGTTATTATTCCTCTCTACCCATTTTTTAATTAGATCCATCAAACCTCAAAGTCCCCTCCTTTTCTCAATCAAATCCCTCAAACATTTCATATCCATCAAAATCCCTACCTGGGTTTTTCTCCAAGGTACGTTTTACAGTAGCTTCTTCCGCTTCTTCACAATAATTCATACCGAGAAAGCAACTTTCCCTTCAGTGATTGAGTGCGGTTTTTGCATTGCTGTTTTTTTGGGTTTGGTTCACGTGGCAGACAAGTAAAATATGGAGATTGCGACGGCGTTGCTGGTTTTAACAGCCATCACGGCTTACCTCCTTTGGTTAACCTTCATCTCACGGTCGCTGAAGGGTCCACGTGTCTGGGCGTTACTGGGTAGTCTCCCGGGGCTCATTGAAAACTCGGACCGGTTGCACGACTGGATCTACGACAACCTACGCGCCTGCGGCGGCACGTACCAAACCTGCATCTGCGCCATCCCCTTCCTCGCCAAAAAGCAAGGCCTCGTGACCGTCACGTGCGACCCGAAGAATCTGGAGCACATACTCAAGACCCGGTTCGACAACTACCCCAAGGGCCCCACCTGGCAATCAGTGTTTCACGAGTTGTTGGGGGAGGGCATCTTCAACTCGGATGGCGACACGTGGCTGTTTCAGAGGAAGACGGCCGCACTTGAGTTCACCACCCGGACGCTGCGCCAAGCCATGGCTCGGTGGGTCAGCCGAGCCATCAAGCTCAGGTTCTGCCCGATTCTCAAGTCGGCTGAGCTCCAAGCTAAACCGGTTGATCTCCAAGACCTGTTACTTCGGCTCACTTTTGATAACATATGTGGCTTGGCTTTCGGGAAGGATCCGGAGACTTGTGCCCCGGGTTTTCCTGACAACGGCTTTGCCATGGCCTTCGACCAAGCCACCGAAGCCTCGCTGCAGCGGTTTATCCTGCCAGAGGTGTTGTGGAAGCTGAAAAAGTGGCTTGGGCTTGGAATGGAAGTCACATTGAGCCGAAGCCTTGTGCATATTGAGGAGTATTTATCCGATGTGATTGCATCCCGTAAGCTCGAGTTGCTGAGTCAGCAAAAAGATGGGAACCCACACGATGATATGTTGTCAAGGTTCATGAAGAAAAAAGAGAACTACTCGGACACTTTTCTCCAACAAGTGGCGCTCAATTTCATCCTAGCTGGACGTGACACATCATCAGCTGCGCTAAGCTGGTTCTTTTGGTTGATCACTCTAAACCCAATGATTGAAGACAAAATTCTGCGTGAAATTTGCACCGTTCTGATCGAGACACGTGGCGATGATATGGCAAGTTGGTTGGACGAGCCGTTGGAATTTGAGGAAATTGACCGATTGATATACCTCAAGGCAGCATTGTGCGAGAGCCTTAGGTTGTACCCTTCCGTACCCGAGGACTCAAAGCATGTGGTGTGCGACGACGTTTTGCCGGATGGCACATTTGTCCCCGCCGGATCATCGGTGACATACTCCATATACGCAACGGGGCGGATGAAATCGACGTGGGGAGACGATTGTCTAGAGTTTCTCCCGGAGAGGTGGCTATCTCCCGATGGTAAGAAGTTCATAATGCATGACTCAAATAAATTTGTGGCCTTCAACGCCGGTCCAAGAATATGTCTGGGGAAGGACTTGGCTTACTTGCAAATGAAGTCAGTAACCGCGTCGGTTTTGCTCCACCACCGTCTCACGGTGGTGCCGGGCACAAGGTGGAGCAAAAGATGTCGTTAACGTTGTTCATGAAATATGGACTCATGGTGAATGTGCACAAAAGGGATCTGGGGGCAATTTTATCAAGCATTAAAAAGGAGATGACGACGGAGGGACAATTGCAAGGGGAAGAGCAAGAGTGTGTGGCCGTTGAATGTAACGGTGACAGTGGTGGTGGAGCGGTGGTCGGGGTGGCTTAAGAAGTTTAATTTTTTGGGTGGTGTATTTATGGAGTGGTGGAACCTATGAGAAATGAAAGGGATAGCTTTCCCTTGTAAGCAAAAAGCTTTGCAAATTTTTATTTCCATTTAATATTCTTTATGTCGATCTTGTTTGTTCAGATTTTATAAATTGCTTTTATCAAATTATTATTTTTACTCAATTTGATTTTCTGCTTCTTCAATTATATATGATCTATGAAGATGTGAGTAAGAATAATTAGTCAACGCAATGTGCTCGATCTCTTACGTCTAAGTTCGAACTTCACATCCAGTAAATTAGAGTAGCTTAGAGTATATCACTTTATTAAGAAAATTTTTATTTGATTAACCATTTGATCTTATGGCAACTTTTTGATACATGCATTATTATGTATAATCAACCGTTTAGGTAAACGTTATTTATTCTAATCACTTGAGTTACAAGCCCTGAGCCTTGAGCTTATGGTAATTATGGTAATTACAACAATTACAAAGAGAGATAAGGTGAATAAAAATTGAACAATGCTTGGCTACTCAAGGATAAGTAAGAACTCATATTCAAAACTTTCCATGTTCGAATTACAAAGGTTTATTCTTATGATCAAAACCTTTTATATTATAAATCACTCTATAAAGATCATATCTGCAAACAATGAATTAAAACTAAAGTTATTTAGTCAATCTATTGTAGCAAATACATAGATGATTTGTATTGTTTTTACCAATTCCGTTCATCTGTCTTTATACAGTTCAATGACTAAACAACCTTAATTTAATTGATTTTTTTGCAGAGGCGAAATAAAATGATTTATAATATGAACGGTTATGATACAAGCATAAAGTTCTCTGGATCGACAACGAATAGTTTTGTGTAGGAACTCCTGCTCATTCTTTAAGTAGCAAGTGTTCTTAAAAATTTCTATGCAAGGTATAAGGGTGGGGTCTATTCTTATCTATAATCCAATGTATGTGGTTCTTATATTCCATCAACTTGAATGTAGCTGATGGATGGAAATGCCTGGCCCTACTTACATTGCATAAAGAATGTCTACCAGCTCCAGAAAAAAAGGCCTACATATGTTTCTTGTTCTTTCTTCTTGATTAATCTGTGAACTATAATTAGAAAAGAAATTAACGGCTAAACAAAATTCCGATCACCGATTGAATCGGTGATGTGAGCAGCATTGCTGTTGCCTGTGAATCGAACTGCGGAGAATTTCAGTAAGAAAGAACTCGGGTGGATGACATACTATTACCATTGTATGGGCAAAAGAAAAAGGTTCATGGGGGTCTCAAGCCCACCCAGAAAGGGCCTCAGAGGTTGTTACGAAAACTGATGGCGGTATTTAAAAACCTAGAGAACTTAGCCGGATTTTCCCTTGTGACGCGTTGCTTCCATCTTGTCATAGTTCCGTTCCTTGTGTTCTTGCATTTCTCTAGTCGAGGATTTTCTCTCCAGTTGAAAACAAGTTCCAGATTAATGTGCCAATGATGTACAATACAACAGAGACCTTGAATACATCATCCCAAGAACCTGCAGAATCGAAGTTCAAGTGCTCAATACAAAACTGGAAACTGGAACTTGAGCGGAAAAAGCGTATTCAGAAAAGAGGTTGAGGGAAGCATTTGATTGTACCTCGTTGGAGTATGTACCCTGTTGCAGCTGTACCGAAAACACCAGCAAGAACTCCTGCTGTGTTTGAGAGTCCCAGCAATACTCCCTGTAATTGTATTTATAAGTTTGATCATACAGGATTCAGACAATTTGATTACTTGTTTAGTTCTTTCGTATGGGATTGAAAGCACAAAGAACACTGTTAATTTAATAGAGTAAAAATTGATCACAAAAAATTGTTAACACAAAATTCCAAGGTGGAGAAACTGCGTCAAGTAGCCATAGATTTTATAACTTTGTAAGATAGCAACTCACAGCATAGCGAGGTCCAATGTCTTGGTGGTTGGAGTAGAGACCGGATTGTGAGAATGCATCAGATCCCTGTCAATAAGAAAGAACGCGTGAACAGATAATCCTAGGAGTAATACTTACCAACTAGTTTTTACCTGACTGCATGCCATGCATAGTACTGCCATTGTGGGTGTCTTGACACGGCTCAGCAGTGTAAGGGAAAAGGCTGGTCCCAGAAACCCAATTGATTGCATGATCTGCAATGAAAAACGGATTTGTAGATATCTTAAGGAACATAAAGCAGGAGAGCCAGCTCCTGAACCACTTTTAATACTTCAAGAAGTTTAGTCCTTACCTTACGAACTGTTGTTACAGAAAAACCTTTGCTGACAAGTGTATCTGCAATCCAGCCTCCTATATTTGCAAAAACAGCCATCGTCAACCATGGCAAGACACAGAGGAGCCCGGATTCAGTGAGGTTGAATTTCAAAACCTGTAGTATGTAAAAGGAATTTAGTGACTCAACAATTTATTTGGGATTGAAATTTAATCTGCTTCTGGGTCAAAATTTTTGATTTGCATGCGGTTAGTTTTTGTGTGAGACATTACTTTATTTTCTGCATCGAAAGATTGCATGGAGCTATTATCTTTTCCCATACATGTGAGTGCCTGTATGCTCAATTTTGGAGGAATCAATTCCGTACCTGATTGTAGTATGTAGGCATCCATGTCAATAGAATAAAGGTTCCCCAATTGTGGCAAAAGTGGCAGACTATAAGAGCCCAAACAGGTGTTTTTGATAATATTAGCTTCCAAGGAATGACCTTAACAGGCTCCTTAGATGTGTTTCCAGTTCCACCCATGATAAGTTCTTTTTCCTCTGCGCTAAGCTCCGGATCTTCTTTTGGTGTGCTATATGCCTAACGATACAACAATAAAGATGATCTGGAGTTAAATTTAATGGATCAACATCCAAAATGCTGCTCAAATCAGTTCATTCGTATATTTCATACATATCATGTCTAATTCCGAGTATATTTTCATGGTGTAAGGAGAAGATCACCAGTTATGTACGACGAATGGGCATGAGAAACAATTAGTGTAAATCATTTCATATTTCAAAAGACAAGTGACCTTAATAACAATAATTCTGTACACTTATACTTTTAAAAATGAAGATTCAGTACTCAGTAGCAGTTCATTCACACAATCCCGTAAATGAAAGGAAAAAAGACATCACCCCCCGAGCAATCAAAACAAGTCTATCCAACAAACTTTCATCAAATACCATTGTGAGTCAAAGAATACATTAAACACTACAATTGCATATCACATCGGACTTTTCTATCTAAATGAAAGCATTACCGGATATTGCACAGCTCAAACAAGAACATATTAACGGTCTGGAGATGTGATAATATTTATTTATCTTCTTTTGAAATAGTCTATCTTAAATCAAGAGTAGACAAGGTAATTCAAGTATTTCAAATGTTGAGGGAAGCAAGAACATACTTTATTCAGCCATAATGCCAACCAGATACTACCAAGAGAGCCAAATGAGTAAAACACGGACGGCCATTTGAACTTCTGGATTAGAATCGGAGAAACGGCCAACCCAGTGACAGAACCAAGGTACATGCCAGTATATACTAGTGAAAGTGCTCTGCTTCTCTCAGACACTGGAATCCACTTAGAGAGTATATTATTCATAGCAGGCATAGCGACACCCTGTGAAACGAACAAGGAATATCTGTTCAGCAATGAGAACCCTTAGTTGAATACCAAGAGAAAAATCCTATTTCAGAAGGGAAGCTGAGATACAATTAAATATCAAATGAGAAAAAATTTAAATAATTATACATAAAACCTGAAGGAAAACTTCTGCGTGCTAAACTAGAAAAGTGAAATGGGACAATTGGTGTCCAAATTAACTTGTCATACAAATAAAAGTCCTTCATTCTTTTACAAGTTTTAAGGGGTAATCATTTTAGGTTATTTATTTTACTCCTGTTTTGTTTCTTAAGCTGAATGATTTGTTCCAAGCCAATTTCTAAAGGAAAAGTAAGTGTCAAGTGTCAACTAATACACTGCAGAATCGGAGTAAAATAGGATTAGAGATCCAATGCAAAGCGCTAGAAAGACGAACCTCACCAATCCCCATGAAAGCACGCATGATAAGCAAAAAAGGGAGGCTGATTTTTGCTGCAATAGGTGTCAAAATTGTCGCTACTGACCACCATATCACTCCAAAACCCAATACACGCTTTCCACCAATTTTATCTGCCAAAATGCCTCCAAGAATCTATAAACAAGAGCAATCATAAAATTAATACGATCATGCAGGAGAACTGAGAGTAGAAGTTACAACTTATATATGCTATATCATATATGTATCTTGAACAACAAATATATGCTATTCTTAATAAAACAGTATCCTCTAGACCATAGAAGGACACAACCATGATTAGATGCCCACTAATGCGTGCTTAGGAGATTGAGAATGAAGGTGTGCTAAGGAGATTGAGAATGAAGGTCTGCTTAGGAGATTGAGAATGAAAATGTAGTTTATTTTTGAGTAATGCACATACATTAGTAAACTTAGTCAAACCTGAGTAAGCAGGTAACCCCAGAAAAAAGAGGACTGAATCAAGCCGACTGTTGCACTATTCCAGTTGAATTCCTGTGCCATGGGAAGTATTGCAATGCTCATGTTTACCTACAATATAAAAATTTTACACTGTTGTTAGCTGATTGAGATGTATCACATTAAAAAACCAATACATTAAAAACATATTTTCGAATTGTGCAATGCTTTTGTTTACAGATGATGTAACATCAAGGTTACTACGATATAGGAAATACTTTTATCTTGATGAGAATTGCCTTGGTAGCTTAAGACATCTTGTAACTAATTATACAAGAATATATGTTGTCAAGAAAGAGGCTATATATGTGTGTCTATATATCTTGAACCTTTCAAACAACACATATGCACAATGATGCAAAACAGAAAAATACTCACACGATCCATGTTGCACAATAGGAATGCTGTAAAACAAAGGAGTACAATCACCCAGCGCTTGGGAATCTCCCACCAAGAAGGTACTTTACGCACATTTCCAGCTGCCAAAATAGCTTCACCTGACCCCTCTATTGATGTGAGTGAGTCCACCTCTGATTCTGTTATGTCATTATCCTCCGACTTGTAATAAGCACAGGTCCTGTTAACCTTAGCATGTTCATACTTATGATATTTCCAGTAATCAAGCTTATCCA